TATAGGTGTGCATATATCGATTACAGCAGCTTCAAGTACGCCTCAGCCAATCAGATTTTAGGAATGGAACTACCCATTTTATAAATGTGCTTTTTTCATTAGTTTGGAAATACTCTTCATATTGAGGAAGACACTCCAACAGACACTCTAAAAAAATCATGAAGCTAACGGACGACCGATATATCATCACAGATATCATAATATCTGCCAATATTGGCAACACGCGGTATTATCGGCTACGATATATTACCATGAGCTTCTGTTGTATAATTTTTAGATGTGATATAACAGAGAACTGACAATCGTATCAGACAGTCAATCATCAACATTGAATTTAGTAAAAAAAAAAAAAATCTGATAATCGATCATTTAATATGGTCAGAAATTAAACAGACTCTAGTAGCTGTAAAATGCTCTACAGACTGATATGACTTGGTTATTAACAGTGAATCATCATAATATGAATATGAATATCAGTTCTCTACCATGTTTATACTCGTAAATAATGTAAACAATAAAAATATTGTTATACAGATGAGCTTTCAAGAATACTTAGTAGAAAAAAAAACAAAAATAAATACAATTTACTAAAGTTTCGACTGACTGTAGATGTAGTCGATCAGCCAAGATGTTTGGTGTCTGTGAATGTTGTTAACCTAGGTGCCAAGTGTAACATTCGGACACCAAACATGTCTCGACTAAATCTGGGGTAAATAGAAAACTTACTTTTCATCAGTTCGCTTAATGGAAAAGAGTTTTGTATTCTCCTCATGTTAAGGGTCTGTTTTTGTTTTTATTTATTTTAACCACAGCAGTGATTTGTGCTCAGTCTGTCCTGCTGTGCTGGAATGAGAGCAAACCGGTTGTAAATATCATCTCAGCAGCCTCTATAAAGATCCACAAATGGGCATGCAGCCATTAAATCTAGTGATTTCCCTCATGGATGAGGGCTGTTACAGTTTAAAAACAAGCCTCCAAACATTTGTGCTTTAGCCGTGGGATTTTTGTTGACAGTGACCAACATTATCAGCCGACTGAAAAGTCTGGGTGCCCCATCCAAATGACATGTTTTGATAAACACAACCTCCCCAGCAAACTATTTAAAATAACATTTATCTGTGAATGTTAAGGCACAGTTACCTTATATTTGTTTAACATAAAAAACAGACCTTGTGTGGGATTTAAATACATTGTTATTCTGGCACATATTGTGGCGTCAGCCAGCAAAGATGTTTCCTTTTCTGGTGCATCTTCTCTGCACTGTCGGCAGCAGATTTTCTCTTTCCATCCATGTTTTGACAACAAGTGCTAGACATTGCGACATGGGGGTTTCCCCAAGAACCTTGATGTACTCGATGTTCTGGATTATGCTACCTTTACTCACAAGTTATACAGCGAAACAGTGTGAAAACAATTAGCCAAGCTCTCCTCTGTTTACAAACCAGCCCACCTGCAGCTTTAATATGAGGCTGATGTTGGCTGATTATTCGTCAGCTTCTTGTTCAAATGTTCCCATTCCACCTTAAATGGTGCAGCAGGGGCATGGCATCTTGATGCTGACTCAACATTGTGAGAACAGAGAACAGAGCTGCTCGTATGCTGGACAGAAAGGCAAAGCAAAACCCCCAGATGACAGCAAAGAACCAGCAGGAAGATGAACCTAACACAGGAGTGGTGATGCACCGTTCTACTGTGTAGCACTGCTCACACAAACATGATCTAAATCAAAGAGGCTTCAGAAGGAAACTTTACCTGCAACCTCATCACAAAAGGCAAAACTTATAAGACAAAGGCATTTTGGAAACAAGTACTGAAGTAAAAATGTAACTCTTTGGTCACAATCACCACAATAAAAGAGATGTCTGGATGAAAAAGAGCAGCATCTGATGAAAGGAACACCGTGCTGACTGTTAATTATGGTTGTGGATCTGTTATGATTTGGGTTGTGTGGCAGCCAGTGGCTCCGGACACACTGCATGGGCAGAGGGAAGAATGGATTCCACTGTAGCTGAAGAGAGGTCTAGGAAAATAATCCAAAAACATACCTCAAAATCCACCATGAACTACTACAAGAAACACCAGCTGAAGTTTTTGAACGGCCCTCACAGTCAGCTGACTTAAACATCACTGAAAATCTGTATTGATCTGAATGCAAGAGCATCTCAAAACTAGTGAGAACAAGTGTTCTGCACAGAAATTCCTGAAACAAAAAAAGAAAGACGCCTTGCCGGATACAAAAGCTTTGTCTGCCAATGGTGATGTTGGTCAAAAGAGCATTTGTGAGGTCAGACACTGATGTTGGACGAGAGAGTCTGGCTCACAATCTCTGATCCAGTTCATTACAGAGGCGTTCAGTGGGGTTGAGGTCAGGGCTCTGTGCAGGCCACTGGAGTTCCTCCATCAAACTGGTCACTCCATGTCTTTATGGAGCTGCTTTGAGCTCAGGGGCTCAGTCATGCTGGAACAGGAAAGGCTCTTCCCCAAACTGCTGACACAAAGCTGGAAGCAGATAACTGTGTAAAATGTCTTTGTGCTGCAGCATCAACATCACCCTTCACTGGAACTGAGAGCCCAAACCCTGAAAAACAGCCCCGCCTATCATCCCTCCTCCACCAAACTGTACTGTTGGCTCTGCATTCCGGTGGGTAATGTTCTCCTGACATCCACCAAACCCAGACTCATCATCAGACTGACAGATAGAGAAGCTGATTCATCTCTCCAGAGAACACGGTTCCTCTGCTCCAGAGTCCAGTGGTGGAGCTTTACACCACTCCAGCCGACGCTTGGCATTGAGCATAGTGATTTTAGGCTTGTGTGCAGCTGCTCAGCCATGGAGACCCATTTCATGAAGATCCTGATGGACATTTCTTGGGCTGATTTTGCTTCCAGAGGCAGTCTGGGAAACTATAGTGAGTGAAGCAGCTGAGCTGTTGTTGCTCCTAGATGCTTCCATTTCACCATAGCAGCACTTACAGTTGTCTGGGGCAGATCTAGCAGGGCAGAAACCTCACAAACTGACTCGTGGCAGAGGCGGCATCCTGTGACAGAGCCATGTTTAAAGTCACTGCGCTCTTCAGTACGACCCCCTACTGACAGTGTTTGTCTATGGAGACTGGAATGCTGTGTGTTTGGTTTTATACACCTGTTAGCAATAAAACAGCTGAGCTAGTAGGATGTCTTCTGCATTGTTATATAAATATATTTAAGTTAATCAAATATAAAGAAACTTTGCAGATTTTTTTAAAATAGTTTAGAGATTGTGTTTAGTCCGCACCCAGGACCGATGCTGGGCTCGTTTGGGGGCGGGGCTCATTATCACTGGTTTGCTTTCACACACAAGAATTCCATCCAAACTGTGGATCAACTGCGCAATTCCATACGTCACTTTTCTGTGTGCAGGTTTGGAGGATGGTCAGCAGCTTCATCTGCTGATATGAACACTGAAGCAGTGAAGAGCAGCTCTTTCTGTCCACAGCCGTCCTCTCCCCATCACCGCACTCCAGAAGGGAAGGGATGCGATAAGCCAAAGCAGTCATGTTGCAGAATGAACCAATCACGCAGCTCCATACGCGGCGCTGAGAGCAGAGAGCTTCCAACTAGAGCTCGCTGGAAGCGAAATCCCAGACCACTGACGTCAAGAGAACCAGAGATTGGTTCTCTGTTCCGCTCGAGGGCTCCAAAACAGCTTTCACACTTAACTAAACGTACCGAACACATAGCAGTCCAGGGTCTGGATAAAGTTCTAGTGTGAAAATGCCCAAAGATGGCCACAAACCTTTACATACAACTGACAGACTGGTCAGTCCACATAGAGAACCCACAAGACTTTATTAAGTTCCAAGCTGGACTTCTCACTTATCACCTCATGGTTCAGCCACGGTGAACTCCCACTGCTACAGCGGAGAGGTGAGGGTCACGCCCGGCTGTGAGAGACAATGAGTGGAACAGCCCTCACAGAAAGGAGCGTTTGGAATGGCCCTCACCATCGCCTGACTTGAACCTCATCGAAAATGTGGGTAGATCTGAATGCATCTCAGAACTCAAAGCATTCTGCAGGGAAATTCCAGAAACAAGAACAGAACGACGCCTAACTGGCTACAAAAAAGCAACCACGCAGCTCTACAAGCGGCACCGGGAGCGGAGAGCCTCCACACCGAACCAGAGTTGGACCGCACCAGAGTTGGCTGGAAGCAAAACTCAGACACCGATTTCAGAGGGACCAGAGATCGGTTCTCCGTTTCGCTCCTGGGATCTCAAACAGCTTTCACACTCAACCAAACGTACAGAACTCGCTGAGCAAGCAGTCCCAGGTCCGGAGAGAAGTTCTAGTGTGAAAACACCCTTAGAGGCCAGAGTGATATATGGATCAGGCAATATTCAGAACCAGTGGTGGACGAAGTACACAAACCATGTACGTGAGTTAAAGTAGGGAGACCCAAGGTAAAATATTACTGCAGTAAAAGTAGAAGTTCCTCCCTTTAGACCTCCACTGGAGTAAAAGTACAAAAGTATTTGCTTTCAAATTTAGTTAAGTATCAAAAGTAAAAGTACTAAAAGATTAATTATGGCTCTGATGTCCTATTATCATTTTTATAACAAGACTCGCTTCATTAACTCATTTTAGGTGAAAATACTCCAGTGTCTCTCTTGGTAAACCAGTCTTTTAATAGAAGGTCATTAATTAGTGACACTGATGTCTATTAAAATTATCATAAGCACAAAACACTGAAGGCAAACAGTTTCCATCAGGTAGAACTGAGTGGCTCTGAAATCACTTTTTACAAACAAGCAAAGTTTCAGTTTAAGATTTATTTGAACTTAGTTACAAGTTTAAGTTTAATAAAATCTTTAAACTCAGATTCACAAATGAGTTTCCTTTACTAAACTGCATCTGTAGGTCTCTGTTCATAAACATAAACTAGCCAAAACTAATTTACTATAAAATGAAATGTGTTTGTATAAATTCAGAATAAAGACACGTCAGTCTCAACTGCATATGTGTACATATCTCCATATTGTGGTCTGTTTACCCACAAAGTCAAGAGCCACATGTTATATCTGATCACTAATTCTTTGAAGTGTGACTGTCAGTCAGTGTTTGCATTAACCCCGCCCTGCTTTACCTGCTAAAGTGACCTAAGTATAGTGTGGATATGCTTGCACTGGGTCGGTATGACCAACAGGTCAAAACATGCTCAAAACAAAGTGACCGCTGTGCTCTGATTGGTGTTCTTACTTTGCGCTTCTTTTGTTTTGACATTTTACGTTTTTTTTGCACACATAAACCAAAAGGAACGACAGATTTCTCATAATGTGGTGGAGTAAAAAGTGAGATATTAGACTTTGAAATGTGGTGGAGTGAAAGTAAAAAGTCACCCAAAATGGAAAAACTTCAGTACAGATACACAAAAAAACTACTTAAGTACAGAAACGAATTACATTTACTTCATTACTGTCCACCACTGTTCAGAACCCACAAGATTTTATCAAGTTCCCAAGTTGGACTTCTCTCTTATCACCCAATGGACCGGCTACTGTGCTCTCCCACCGCCACAGCGGAGAGGTGAGGGTCAGTCTGGCTGTGAGAGACAGCGAGAGGAAGCAGTTGTGGGTTTTTATAAGGATCGAGCAGCTGGAACCAGTAAACAACATGGTGTAAATCGGCGCTGGAGCGCGGCCAGACACTGCAAAAACAACATATGGAGTAGAAGAGCTTCCTCCTCTACAGAGTCATCAGCTGGAGCTCTGCTACCTCTGCTGAACTCTCTCAGATGACTCATGACCCGCAAAATGCACGCTCCCCGACCCGGCCCAGTTCAGCCAGACACAGCTGAGCAGGCTGTTTGATTCTTAATTAAAAGGGAATCACAATTTTTAAGCTCTGAATTGAGTCGTAAGTAAGAATCATGATTTCTTCAACATAATTTTCTGCAGGACAGTGGCCCTCACGCTCCAATATCCTCCTAAGTCTGTTCTTAAGTGTGTTCTTGTGAAAGGTCCTAAGAAAAAGTCTCCGTCAGATTCATGACGTGCAGAACTGTTCTCTCCTTTGTGCTCTTGAGTGTGTAGATTCTGTTCTTACCTAAGAACAAATCCCACATAAGAGAACACTGGTGAGTCAGAATCTTCGGGAAAACTGCGTAAGTGGGTTTAAGAAGAAATTCCTTCTTATGAACGGTTGGTGAACGAGGCCCAATGTGTCTATGTACTCAATTCTTCAACATGTATACCATCAGCTCAGATATCAACACATCAATATAATCAGCTATTTAAAGTCAACCTGAAATCAGTCCACTGTGTCGTATCATTCAAAAGACCAAATTCTTGTTTCTGTGTAATCTTTGAAAGAAGTGTGATGATTTCTGCCACCTCCAAGTTATGTTTACATTACAAACCTCGTTGCTCAAATCCAATTTTTTGCTCAGATCCGATCTCTCTGACATTATGATTCACGCTCGTTTAGGTAAGTGACTCAAATCTGTCATTAATGTGACGAACCGGCGTCCTGAAATGACCCTCATGAGCTCATCCTACTCAGTAACGTCACATGAATGAATCACGAGCATCATCAACACAAACTAACGAGCAGAACGAGCTTCGCTGAGAAGATAATTAACTCTGATCAGCTCTCAGCTTCATTATTAGAGCGAGACGAAGGAGAAAAAGGTGAGATGAGCTGCTTTTCCACCGTTTACAGGCTTTAACTTCTGTTCGGCGCTGCTGCCATGGTAACGCTGAATGATGGCGCAGCGCAGTGGGAAAAAAAAGCACATGAATTCTGATCTGAGCGTCACATTAAGGTCACATGGCCACGAATCGGATACGTATCCGATCTCAGACCGCATATAACAGTAACTCTACTGGTCTCTGTAAACAGAACTGAAGCACTTTTGAAGTGTTGAAAAAACAGTGTTGTAAATCTTTTTCCACATCAATCAGTCAAACAAACAAATAAATACATAGACAGACAGACTGATAGATAGATAGACAGACAGACAGACAGACAGACAGACAGTTGATATAATATGCAGGCTCTCACCTGAAACTCTCCTATGCCTGTTGCCTTTGGCTCCGTTGGGGTGTTTCCTGTCTGAGGGCGAGGGAGGAACTCCGGTTCTCCTGTCCGCTGAGGACGGCGACGGAGAGGCGGCGGGTCTCCTGTCCTGTGCGGAGGGTGAGGGGGCGGGGCGTTTGTCCAGCGGGGAGCGGGATGGACTGGGCCGTCTGTCGATCAGCAGCGGGGGCGTGGTGGAGCGCGGGGTGACGGGGCCGCGGCCGTTCAGGAGCTTCTCCTGATTTTTGTGGGACGCTGGTGATGGGAGAGTGGAATTCAGAGAGGCGGAGGTCGAGGAAGACGCAGGGGAGGAAGAGGGGACGGAAAGGGACGAGGAAGAGGAGGAGGAGGAGGAAGTGGACGAGGAGGAGTTGACTTTAACATGAGCTCCCTCTGATCTGCTGAAACACGGCATCTTTTCCAGAGTCACCACAGGTAACGACACACTGCAGAGAGAGAGAGAGAGAGAGAGAGAGAGAGAGAGAGAGAGAGAGAGAGAGAGATGTGAAAAAGAGAAACAGCAAGAGAGAGCGATGGAGTGAGAAAGAAAGAAGGGAGAGAAACAGAGCAACGAACAGAGAGAGCAGAGAGAGAGAGAGAAAGGGCAAGCGAGATGGATGGAGAAAATAGAGAGAGAGACAAAAAGAGAGACAAGGAAGAGAGAAAAAGAGAGGATCAGAGAGAGAGAGAGAGAGAGAGAGAGAGAGAGAGAGAGAGAGAGAGAGTAAGAGCAAGAGAGGGATGGAGAAAAAGATGAGAGAGAAAGAAAAGAGAGAAAAACAAAAAGATAATGAGAGAGTAACACAGAGAGAGAGAGAGAGCGAGAGAGACACGGAGAGATAGAGAGAGATGGATAAAGAGAGAGAGAGAGAGAGAAAGAGAATGAGAGAGAGAGAGAGACAGACAGACAGAGAGAGAGAGAGAGAGAGAGAAGAGAGAGAGACAGACAGACAGAGAGAGAGAGAGAGAGAGAGAAGAGAGAGAGACAGACAGACAGAGAGAGAGAGAGAGAGAGAAGAGAGAGACACACACACACACATTATACATGTTGCTGACTTTGACCAATTTACAGTGCTCCTGCACAAACCTCTTATAACTGGTGCTTTATCGGTTTATTGATTGTTGCCAATACCAATAAATCCACAGGACCTTAACACTGGCTGGTCGAGGCCCTGCTGTACCTGCTCAGTGTGATAAACAACATTAAGATTTTTGAGGCAGCGTTAGGTTGAACAGGTAACCTTCAATCAGTCAGGGGGAGTTGGGGTGAGGTCAGCTGGGTGGGCAGTGTGGGGGTGGGGGTGTGGGAGGGCGGGGTCGGACACCCACCAGGCTTTGGTGCGTCCTCCTTTGGGCGGGTAAACGGCCAGCGGCGCTTTGCTGAAGCGCGAGTGTGGGTAGTCGCGAGGCACACGGAACGGCAGGGGCTCCACCTCACTCTGGCTGAGGGACATCTTCGCCTTCATGGGAACCAGAGGTGCTCGAGAGCTGCTGGGAGAACCGTGTCTCCTCTCTACGGAACACAGACAGAACAGAGGAAAACACTTAGAACATTTAGGACAGCATACCTTGTTACCCTGTTCTTCAGTGGTCAGGACCCCCATGGACCCTCACAGAGCAGGTACTATTTGGAGTTTTTAAACACTGTGTCCACTCACTGTCCACTCTATTAGACACTCCTACCTTGTCGGTCCACCTTGTAGATGTAAAGTCAGAGACGATAGCTCATCTGCTGCTGCACAGTTTGTGTTGGTCATCCTCTAGTCCTTCATCAGTGGTCACAGGACGCTGCCCACAGGACACTGTTGGCTGGATATTTTTGGTTGGTGGACTATTCTCAGTCCAGCAGTGACACTGAGGTGTTTAAAAACTCCAGCAGCACTGCTGTGTCTGATCCACTCAGACCAGCGCAACACACACTAACACCACCACCACGTCAGTGTTACTGCAGTGCTGAGAATGATCCACCACCCAAACAGTACCTGCTCTGTGAGGGTCCATGGGGGTCCTGACCACTGAAGAACAGGGTAAAAGGGGGCTAACAAAGTATCAGAGAAACAGATGGACTACAGTCTGTAACTGTAGAACTACATAGTGCACCTATATAGTAAGTGGAGCTGATAAATCCGATTGTTGTCTGACTCATGTAAACCTGGAGTTTCCCCACTTTCTCATTACTCAAGTGCATGTAAACGTGTTGATCGGATTACTGACAAAATCTGATTATTGACTGCATGCAAACACACTCAGTGGAAATTTTGAGCTGGCAGCGCGTTGATATTTTTACAGCCCTACCTCCGTCGACATCAGTTAGCTTCATTTTCAGAACCTCACCCAGCTGAGCTGAGTGAGAGGAGCTCATTGTCTCATTGTTGTTGAGTGCTAACGAGTCAAATAGCGCCTAATGAGTTAAGTTCAGAGTCTTAAACGGGAAAAGTTTATTTTGTATACTTTGTTTTGTGATTTACTTCAAGTGAAGAAAATCTAAAGTAACTCTTACATTATTATGAGCAGAAAATGCTAATTTGTAAAATATTTTGCTGAAGAGGTTGTGTTTACTTCTTGTTATTTAAAAAAGGGTGTATGTATACACACACACACAAATATGTCTGGGTATGATGATACTGCAGAACTGAATGAATATATATGTTAGATTAACATATGCACAATATTTTTAAAATACTTCGCTACAATGGTTGTACTTACTTCTTGTAATTAAAACAAGAATATGAGTGGATATGTGTGTATACACACACTCACACATCCAAAACTCAAATAATATGTTTTGCTGATATACATATATATGTGAAGAGAGAGAGAGAGAGAGAGAGAGAGAGATGCAGAGAAAAAACAAACCCAGAGGGCGAGAGCACTTACGGTTCTTGCTGTGCATGGCTTTGAGGGGTCTGTGGTGGGGAGGTTGTCCTCTCTGCTCAGTGTGAAACTATTCCCCAACTACCTGCAATCAAACAGGGCTTCATCAGCAAAACACACCAACACACATCACGACAGGCAGCGTCTGCTCAGCTGAGCTGCTGCCGTACGTGTTTATAACACTGCAGTAAACACGCAGTAAACACTGACAAACACCAACACAGGAAAGCAGATACGTTTATTTTCAACACGAACGATAATGACGGCCCTCTGCCCCGTCCTGGCAGCCGGCCCAAACGGCGCCAGCCTCGGCATTGTTCTCGGCCTGCCGGCACACCTCAGCCAAAACCCAGGCTCCAGAGCAACGGCTGCACTGGCTTCTGTTCCCCCACAAAGAACAGAGAGAACCCACTTTCTTCTGATGAAACTGTCAGACTCACAGCAGAGCTGCAGCACAAACAACAGAGCCCTCTGACCTCGACTGCAATTAGTCTGCGGGACTGCGGCAGGTGTGTAAATAGGTCTGTAGGTGCTGGGCAGCAGCTGCAGCGGCCAAAGTCCACTGCTTTCACTACTCTAAACCCACACAGCAGCCAAGAGGACGGGGAATAATGTTAAAGGAGACTCGTTTCTCAGTGTAATGCTCTTCCCTGTGCTCTCTGATAGACATCTGTGATGAGTGGGGTGGGGGAAACACTAATTCAGCCTTTGTTTACACAAGAAATAACATTAAACTGAGTAACTCCAAGTCTGAGAATAAACTGTAAAAACGTGTTGGTCAGATCCTGCTGGTGTGGGTTCACAGCTGTTTCTTCCCTAAATGATGAGCACGAAATGCGCCACCTGCAGGAGAAACTTTACACTGTTTGACTGGAGTTCCAAAGCTGCTTTACACATTTAAAAAAAAAAAAAAAAAACTGTGTTTTTCATCATTATAGTGGATGCAGTGTGGAATTCAACTCATTAAAGTCATTTTACAATTTTTAATATTATTTAGCAATTCGTTTAAATGTGATGTTATTATGCTTGTCTGGTTTTTCACTTTTCTTTAGTGTTTTGTATCTTTTTGTGCATGTAAACATTCTGTAAAGCTTTTCTCAGCTGCCTGAAACGCCTCATTGGAATTCCAGCCCTTTTCCTTTGTTACAGGATGATTCAATCTCGTAACACAGTCCTTACTGTCCGCCTACCGGTGAGCTCCGCCCCCTCACACAGCGGCTACTGGAGGAGGAAGTGTGTGTTCAGTGCTGTAGTAGAGAGATGCTGACCGGACTTTCAGGATCCACTCTGGACCAAACTAAACCGACGCCGCTGGAGAAACAGCCACAGTGGAGTTTACAGCTGCTCAGTCTTAGTGATGTTACAATCATGAACGATCTGGTTCTGGTGAACGGCTCTTCGGTAAGAAGGAAGGCAGGAGGAGTCGTACTTTTTAGCTGTTCTTTTTATCGTTGTGCCCAAATTTCACCGCCAGCCCTGAATCCACTCCACCCTCCACTGAACAGAGAGACCCCCATCCGGTCAGAGACAGACTCTGAGCGTTATTCGGCTCCTTAAAGACAGAATGAGCAGAATTTGTCAGTTGCTGTTTAAACACAGCACTAAAAGTTGTCAGAGAGAGACAGCAGCGGTGGTCAAGCGAGCTAGAGAGTGAATGAAGAGAGGGAGTGGCGTTAGCAAGAACAAGGCCGTGAATCAGAGAAATAAAACTTTATTTTCTGATTGTTTCACAGCGTTTATGCTCCAACATCTCCACGCAGCCCTGCAGGACAGATTCGGTGTGAATGCAGCCGAAGCACACATTTCAGCCTGTCTGATTAACGTAGGAATGGCACCAAACGGGCGGCACGGTGGCAGAGTGAGTAGCGCTATCGCCTCACCGCAAGAAGGGCCTGGGCTCGATCCCCCGGCCGGGCGCCCAGGGTCCTCCCTGTGTGGGTTTCCTCCCGCAGTCAGAACAATTGGACACACTAGATTGCCCCTAGGTGTGAGTGTATGTCTGTCTGTCTGCCCCTCGATGGACTGGTGACCTGTCCAGGGTGTATCCTGCCCTCTACCCAATGACTGCCGGGATAGGCTTCAGCACCCATCGTGACCTAGAAGGATAAGCGGCTTAGAAGGTGTGTGTGTGTGGTGGCAGTAAGTGGCACTCAGCGATGAAAGAGTTTTTAAGCTGTTCAGGCTCGTTTTTAATTTGTCTCTGGGTGGCGCTGTTTGTGGCTGACTGTGTTTGGGCTTATCATGCCATATCATATCCATAGCACAGCAAAATTCATAGGAGAGAACGTCACAGCAGTATTCCCTTTTATATACACATATAGGCTGAACAGGTGTGGAGGTGTCTAACTCCTTTGTGGAACCAGTTTGTCTGTCCTGTGGAAAATGGCTTGTTCTGACTGGCTTGTCTGGGTGCGAGCCCCCATGAGTGTCACCAGAGTAAGAGGCAGAACCCCTGAGAGGGGCAGTGCAGAGGGAGTATAACGATGAGACGCTCTGAAACTCAGATTTTCCTGAGAACATTCCGTAAAATTATGTATAAAAGAACCCTTTCTTCGGTTTTCGGCTGGGAAGTCCCTGCGAGTCGACGCCGTCTGCACAGTCATATGAAAAGAGAAAAATGACGGAGTGCAAAGAAAAACGAACAAATTATGGAAGTAACTGCCGTGGATGACCAGCCACTCTGCTGACCGGGACACTGACATCTTGTCACACATTAGCGAATTTATTTTAGATAAAATATTTTTACTCATTTCAGTGCATCAACAGTTAAACCTTCAGTAATTCTTAAACCTAAAAATATCAGTAAGCCTGTTAGCCTGTTAGCTGAGGATGCTAAACAAAGCTGTCATGTACGGCCAGGTTTACTATGGTTACAGGCCTTGAACTTCATACACACGTGTGACTGCAAACTTGCACATTATAATGTCATGCAAAAAGGTTTACGGGTGCACGTGATGCACTAAATGACATACAGCTGAATACTGACTCCAGTAAAGTCTCAGTTCTGGTATTACTGGATCCCAGTGAAGCAGCATTTGGCCTTTACGCTAAATATAACCATCAAGAACTGGGCTACATGGCAAAAATGTAATGTCAATATTTTAAAACTCACTCTGTGTCACAAAAGCTAGTGTTTTTTGACATGATGTTATCCACGATAAAATTAGAGAAGGATATTGTGACACATTATTTCATAATAATAAGTTGTCATATTGCTCAGCCCTAGAACCTGACATAACATCTTGGATGTGCCTCAAGTGTCCGATTTTTTTAAAAACCAGGTTAAAAATATTTCTTTCTGTGCCTTTAATTGAGCTCTAAGACATGCACTTTGTTACTGCTGCACTATTTTTAAGACTACACCTTTAATCAGCATCTATTTTTGCCTCATTTATGTTCACTTTCATTTCCATTTCATAAGCTATGATAATAAACCTGCCTCGCCTTCACAGGAGGGGAAATAAAACTCTCCTTACGATGTTTTTTGTGAAGTCATGCAGAATTTTTAAAAGTTGTACAAAATGGATTTTTCCCCATCTGCGTACACTCTCAGAAATAAAGGTACTAGACTGTCTCTGGGGCAGTGCCCCTCCTGTCTCTGGGGTGGAACCCTCAAGACTCCGTCTCAGTACCTTTAGTCAGGGAACATAACTGAACCATAATCCACTGAAATGATATGTTCTAAGCTGTACTGACTCCACACACCCCGTCTCGTCTCCAGGACTTTATTTTACTGTTCTGTTTAAAACATTCGGTTATGAAAAGGTACAAATACGAACTTTTCACCTGGAAACACTTATTTAAGGTTCACAATCAGACCTTAGAACCACTGTTGGAGCTTTGAGGGAACATTTACACTGTTTGTACCTTGATGAACGAAAAATGTACCTGAACAGAACCTTTATTTCTAACAGTGTAGTGTATACCCTGTGTGTGTTAGCATTAGGACACAGTGAGCCTGAGAGATCACAGGAAGCCAGACTCCACAGAGAGAGAGAGAGAGAGAGAGAGAGAGAGAGAGAGAGAGAGAGAGAGAGAGAGAGAGAGAGAGAGAGAGAGAGAGAGAGAGAGAGAGAGATCAGCTGCCTCTGTTTACATCCGGTCGGCAACTGCAGGAAGACAGCCGCCAGCGCGGCCGAGCCCGGCCCCATCGCTCGCTCTCTCTCCACACACACACACACACACACACACACACAGACACAGACACACACACACACACACACACACACACACACACACACACACACACACACACAGTCTCGAACAAAAGCAAAGCCATTGAAAGCGAGGCAGACCCCCAGGCCTCACCTCTGATTCGCCACCGTCGCCAGCCAACGGCTGAAAGGCAGAAAAAAAGTAAGAGAGCAAGAGAGAGAAAAACAGGGAACAGCAGGGCTTCTTGCAAACTGGAGTCTCTCTCTCTCGCTGAGCTGCAGCGTTGGAGCTGAATAGCTGCGAGTTGCTGACCCCTGAGCTGACCCCCACGAGTCTGACAGCTGCCTCTCCTCCAGTCTCAGTCTAACAGAGTACCGACCCATACATCAGACGTTAACCCTGGCCGGTACCGTCCAGCAGAGAAACACAATACGGACGTAAAATGCTGTAAAGCTGTTGTGCATCTACAGCTTTGTAAGATCAATTATTAAAACCATTAAAATAGTGTAGCTTTGGACTTTTTCACTGTGTAACCAGAAATCTAACTAACCTTTCTGCTGCTTTAAAGCATCATTATGTAACAATGTTGCCTTAAAATAAAAGTTTTGAAATCATTTTGATGCTACTCTGATTTATAACAGTGAAGACGGCGTCTCTGTAGTCGTCACTCCGGGCCGGAACTCCTGCTATAGCGCTATGTAACTTTGGAGGAGCAGCACGAGAACCTCTCGCCAGAACTGCGTAACACTTTACGGCACAACGTCACACCAACAGCTCAGCAGCTACAAGAAGAAGCAGCTCGGTAATCCCAGCATGGACATCACAGCAGAGGCGGGAAGCGAAAAAGAGAGAGAGACAGAGCGAGAGATCCGACAAGAGTAAATCTGGACTGGCTTTTACTCGTAAAAGGGAGAAAAGTTCGCAGGACAG